GAGGGGCTAAAGCGCAGAGACTTCTCAAAGTTGGACAAAACAAGCCACTTTGGGGGCTGGAAAACCTCATCGTTTTGTTTTTTCTTGTGCAAAACCACATCCCACAGCCAGGCAGTTAACCTGTATTCCCCAGGGCTTGGGAGCGCTGCAGTGCTGATCCCTGCTTCTCTGCAGGCTCCAACCCTCTCTTGCTTCCCCTCCCCAGGGGTCCTGCGTGCCCCCCAGGAGTATCTGGCGTACCCACACCTCTTGCGCTGGGGAGTATGTGGGGTGCCCTGTGGCCTGCACGTGCTGAGAGATGCAGGCTGGTCCCAAAAGCAATGCTGGGGGTAGATGGGGGCATGGGGTTTAGCAGGGCACCAGTGAAGCCCCTCTGAGTGGGTGGAGGCGACGGGCTGTGGTGTGATGCTGCAGCTTAGGTGGCAGGGGCACCCCAGGGGCCAAAGTCCCCGTGGCTCCTGAGGCTCCTCCGCCTGGGGGGGCAGCGCTGGCAGAGCTGTGCTGCAGTGAGGGCGCAGCCACGCTGCCTGAGCACGCCACACCTGGACCTTCCCTGTGGTGGAAGGATCCTGCCCTCGTGGGGCCGGCCACAGCGGGTCTGCGGTTCTGCGAGGGCCCTGTGCACTGTGGTGTGGCCGGATCCCAGCAGGGCATGTGGCAGTCCAGCTCCTGGTGCTTTCCTCCTGCCTCAGTTTCCCTATCTGCAGGGACCAGCCTTGGCCTGCTCAGGACTGGCTGGCTGACTTTGGAGCTTGATGTTTTCTTTAAAAAAATCTATGCCTGGGCAATGGGTGAAGTGTGATGAGTGCTCAGAGCCCCAGCAGGGCTTTTGCCTGTTCTTGCTACATTGAACTTCCCTGGCTCCAACCCCGGTGTCCTGAACAGCGTGGGACATACTGTCCTGCGGCCACTGGTCCATCCAGACAAAGTGGTTTGCTGAATCTCTGGCAGTTGGTGTTGCCCCAAGGCAGCTCCGGGCTGTGGGTGCCGGCAGGAGGCCCTGGTGAAGGAGGAGGGGAGGAAGGGAGTACACAGCAGCAGAGCTCAGCTCCAGCAGGATCAGGCCCTCTGTGGTTGGCGGAGCGGGGGCCCGGCTGGCATGCTGTTGCATGGCCCCACACAGGTGTTCCAGGGAGCCCTTGGGGCTGGCGAGGGACTGCCCCAAACCTGTGGGCTTGTGGCCGCCTGGCCCTGGGCATACTGTAGGCAGGGTGTCAGGAAGCTGCCAGTGCCGATGATGCTCATTTTACTGTCTGGGAGTCCTGTTAACCCGGTGTAACTCCATTAACTTCCATTTAAACCAGCAATTAACTTGGTCATGGCCGTTGGTCCCGTGCCCACCGCTGCTTCCCGTGGTGGCTGGCATGCGTCCCCTGATGCACAGCCTTGGGTGGGAAATGGAAAATCGCTTCTGTCTGGAGGCCGTGGGCTTTCCTGGGGGACGGGGCCACCTGGGCTGGCCCCTGGCAATGCTGCGACCTGTGGGAAGGTGCAGGGCTCAGCACTCCCAGCCTGGGTGCTGTGGCTGTCCCCAGGATATGAACAACCTGCTGGAGCTGTGTGCTGGAGGCAGTGACAGCCCTGCGGCTGGGTGTGTGCCCCCGTGGCTCTCGGTCCAAACTGGGCTGCCGGGAGGACCGGGGTGGGGCTGAGTGCTGCTCCCGGGGATACCTGAACTGCAAGGGTTTTTGGGGCCGTGGGGCAGCGCTCCCTCATGCCTTTGCTATTGCGGTGCCAGCAGGCCTTGCTGCAACCAGCGCATGGGACCCGGGGGATTTAGCTTAGGAAGGATGTGTTGGGTTTTTACCATTCTCATTTCTCCAAGTCACGCCGGTTCCTGGAGCTGGGTGGCTTGGGCCTGACCACAGCATTTATCTGCAAATAGATGCCGGGTGCCTAGACCTGACGTTCGGCAAAGGAGAGAATGGAAGGCAGGGAGTGAAGAAACTGGGTGCATCACGCTGGCGTGAAACGGCTGCCAGCTCTTCCCTTGGCTGCGTCCTCTCTAGGTTTAGGGTGGGGGCAGGAGCCAAGACCGTGGCAGGGTTTGGTTTGCCCCATCTCAAGAACAACCCCAGCACCAAACTGGCATGGGCGCACTTCGTTTTCTCTCCTCCCCACCGCAGAAGACCCCAGTTGGGCCAGGCAGGCGATGGAGCTGCGAGGTACCAACAGAGCCAGTCTGTGAAACTTGGCCGGGAGGACAGAGGGAGATTGATGTTTCCTTGGGCGCTCGGCCCTCAGCTGTGGGCTCTGCCTGCCCCCACGCCAGCTGGGGACAAAAGCACCGGCCCCGGGTGGCACGGCAGGGCTGGCGTAAGGCCCCGGGACAGCTGGCAGCTCTGTAAGGTTGGCATCTGCCCAGCAAGCCGGCACAAAGGGGCTGCGCAGGGGGGCTTACCCGTTGGGGTGCTCGCCCATGTTCGGGTGTCTGAGCTCCACCGTGGAGCTGGAGCCCCCCCTGGCTCCACATCTGCCCTATCTTGGGTCCTGTCCCCTGGCCAAGCCTGGATGGGGTGGAAAGGAGCTGGGGTGACCATGGGGAGCACCCCACGGAGCTGGGGTGGGATGGAGGAGAGCGATGGGGTTTGGAGCTGGGAGCTCACGGGGGGCTCCTGCACAGCCCTGCTGGCATCTCCCATGTGGGAGGTAAAACCTGACACCAATTATGTCAGAAAAATCCCCTGGGGAGGTAAGGATATCTGGGTGTAATTGCAGGTCAGGGCTCCTGTCCCCACAGGGCTGTCATGCCCTCATCCTCGTGTCCCTGCCACACATGACGGGGCCCACCAGGAGCTGGAGCTGGCCGCAGGGTCCTCAGCAGAGACAAACCCCCAGCACACCACTGAAAATCCCATAAAGGCTTTATTTGCGTATGAAGAGTGATGCTATTTAAAAACCCACTGCTACCAGGGGGTGGCTTGGCCGGCCAGTGCCCGCGGGGGGCGCCCCGGTTGGTGCTGCCCGGGTGCTGGCCCCTCCCCGTTTGGCACTGCCTCGAGGGGCCGGGTGAGCTGAGGAGGTGAGGTGCACCCCTTCCTCTGCCTCCAAATGGGGCATCCCCAAAAACAAGTCTTGAAAGCTTGGCCTGGACACACGGTGGCGCCCCACGGGGCCCCCGGCAGTGGGGAAGGTATGCATGGTGGTGGTGGGATGCAGCTGGCTCGGCCCGTCCTGGTGGGTCCCGGGCATGGCCTGGTTCTAGCTCCCCTCAGCTTGGCCCATCTGTGAAATGGGTGCATGCGGCTGAGTGCTCTGCAAGGTTTGGGGGGCTGAGCAGTGTGTGGGGGGTGCGGGGCTTTGCTCCCAGTGAGTTGTGTGAGGGAGAGGGTGATGCCTGCCTGCTGAGTGGGGCCAGGGGCCATGGCAGGGGGTTCTGCCCAGGTCTGGCTTCGGCAGCGATGCCCAGGTCGGGCTTCGGCAGCGAGTGCTGGCCTCCTGCCCACATCCCCGGGCTCTGCAGGGGCCCTTTTGCCATGACAGCGGGTCACCGGGGCCCTTGCTCTGCCATGGCGGCACTACAGCCTCCAAGGAAAGGAGTGAATCCTGTTTCCAGCCTGCCCTGCCTGGAAGACCCTGGGCCCTCTCCTGTGCCCGGGACCATGGGGGGACAGACCCTGCTGGGCTGTGAGCCCCCCCAGGCTGGCTGTGAGCAGGGGGAATGGAGACCATCAACACATTTCTCTCTTTAGGACCTACATAAACACCACCTACTGCTTTTATTTCTTGCTAAGCATGGAGGATATCCAGGTCTGGAGGGCTGGAAGCCTTGCTGAGCTTGTCCTGTCAAGGTTTCGGCTGCTGTCCTCTCCAGTGGAGGAGCCGCAGGGGGGAACCTGCCCGGTAGCCGTCCTGGGCTTGTCTTGTCAAGGTTTCGGCTGCTGTCCTCTCCAGTGGAGGAGCAGCAGGGGTGAACCTGCCTGGGGGACGCCGTGCCTGGGCGCCAGGGTGGGGAGAAAGCTGGGCAACAGGGCAGTTTTCACCTCTGGCTCTCTGCTGGCACTGTGGGAACGCAGCAGTCTGGGGATGCCACCATTTTACCCCTCCAAAGGGATCGGCCAAGCTGCCCCTGCTACTTTCATCCTCAAAAATCTCCCTCCGAAGACGGGCTGTGAGCCCTACCCTGCAGGTAGCACCAGCTCCCCGGTGCCATGCGGCTCCTGTCTGCGGCTGCAGTGGCCGTCTGCGCCCCTTCACTCTCAGCGGGACTGGGCTTGCCTGCTGCCTGCCCCAGGGCTGGCGTTTCCTCGGAGCAAATGGAGCCTCCTGCCCAGGGTCCCTGCCACAGTCCTGCCTGCGGCTGCGGGCACCATGGGCAGCTCTGGGCTCTGCAGGGAGGGAAGCATCCCTGAGCCGCTGCTTCGCTGTGCGTTGGAGCTGGCTGGGGGCTGGAGAGGCCCTGTCTGTTGCTGGGCTGGGGGCTATGGGGCCATAGCCAGCACCCCACACAGTCCGGGTGCAGGCAGGGGTGCTGCCTGCTGTTTCCTGCAACCAAACTCTGGGCCAGCGGAGGAGAGAGGACTGCAGCCTTTCGCCTGGCTGCTTGTGGCCTGCGGCTCAGCAATGCTGCCTGGAGAAGCAGCAGCCTGACACGGAAGGTGCGGAGAGGTGGCGGGTGTTTGGCTGGAAGGTGGTGTTCCCCGGCCACCAGCTGTGCAGCGTCCCAAAGCACTGGGGGCTCCCTCGTGCCATGGCAGCGCAGCACCCCCGGCTACCTGAGGGTCCCCAAACAGCACAGCATCCCTGGGTACCTGGGGGTGACACCAAGCAGGAGGGGTCCCTCTCACCAGCTGACCATGGGGACCTGGGGTTGCTGATCCTGCCCTCGGTGCCCCAGCATCTGAAGGGACATGGGGGCTGCCACAAGTCCGGGCTCTGAGTCCCAGTCCAGCTGTGCCGCTGCTCCAGGACAGAGGGGAACATGGTTCTGGCTGAGCTCGCGGCACCTGGGTGCTCTGAGGGGGGCAGACCGAGAGGCAGGCCCTATGCTTTTCCGGGCCTCAGGGCACAGAGTGGATGTCCTCCGAGCGCAGCACTTTGTAGACGACCCAGTAGAAGATATTGAAGACCAGGAAGGTGAAGGGGAAGACGGCTCGGGAGATGGTGTCGATGCGCTTGGCCCGATCGATGTAGCGCCTGCGGAGGCTTTCACCTTCCTGCAGCAGCATGCCGGCCAGGGGGGGGCTGTAGATGCTGGGGCCCTCCCCGGCCCCGTCCTTCGGCTGCAGGCAGTGGCCCAGCCCGTAGCCTCGCAAGTAGAAGCGGCTCTCGCGGACGAGCTCTTCCTCCTGGCAAAGGGAAAGGCTGTCAGCTGGGGCAC